CTGATATGTACTGATAGTAATGCAACTTCTTATTAAATATCAATGATCTGTCACAAGTAGTTACTTTCAAACAAACTTAAGCAGAAAACTTTATATTGAAAATTGCTAGTTAATTCAAAGTTGCAGTACCATGACAAAGGGGGCATTGCCTCGAAATAGTCGTCAAACTTATAAGTACTATTAGTATTGCAAATTTATTTTAAATATCAGTGACTTATCACAAGCAATCTCCATCAACTAACTAAGGCAGAAAACTTAACAAATGATGACGCCACCGCCGTCGCCGGAAAGCAATCATCCATGTCTCGCTTTCCGAGACTTTCGTCTTAGGCGAGACACAAATCAATTAGGTGCTATTTTACCGATTTATATAGAGTCATGCTATTTTTCCGGTCTTATTACATTTTTTTTCGCGGCAGACTATATGAAATTAAATGTTTTTGAAACAAATGTCAGCCGTTGATGACAGTCTGGTGATGAAGGAGGACACCGGAACACGTATAAACTAGTCCTTAAACGCTTTCAAGTTCATGTCTAGACAAACTGGTGAGTGTGAAATTAATAAAGAAATACCGATATTGTAAAGACGATGCATGGAAATCTTTTGACCGTATTTATTCTCTGATAGTTGTAGTCTTGTAGACGCAAAAAAAAATGAAAATCATAGCACATCTCTTTATTTTTATATAAGTGAAATGTGCAGTTCATGTCTGCATTGGCAGTATCTTTCTTGTGCAAGACTAAAAAATACAACAAACAAAATGCACATTTCTTAATATCGACATCCGCATTTGCGCCAATTAACATTTCATATATGCGAGAAAAAAATCTTTCATTTTCACAATAAGATAAATGTTTCTTTTACGCCAATATTTCTGGTAAAAAGTATATTAAATAGTATATTGAACTACAGAAAATCAGTATCAGTATTCAGCTTTCTTCTGTACTGCAACACGAGCGTGAAAGATACAATTGTATTAATTATATACTTAATTATTTTACTTTTTTTTTATCTGTAATCAGAACAATAATTCCATTTAAAGATATCAACCTGATATAAAAATGAAAATGTGGTGTGATTGCCAATGAGACAACTATTCACCAAATGACACATACATTAACAACTATAGGTCATTGTACAGCCTTCAACGATGAGCAAAGCTCATACCGCATATCCAACAACAAAAGGCCCCAAAATGACAAATAAACGAGAAAACTAACGATCTAATTAATGTACAACCACTGAATTACACAATTTTGAAAGTAGCTTTCGACACGCATGTTTAAAAGTTAAAGTGTTATATCTGCTTAAGAGTGTCATTGAAAATGAATGTTTTGAGTGCAGAGATGTCAAGTTCAGCTCTAATGTGTTTAAAACGAAACATATGTATTGATAATGTGCTCAGTCGTTTAACATGTTTACCTGCAATGTGTTTAAAAAAGAGAGACAAAAGATACCAAAGGGATATTAAAACTCATATAACATAAGTAAAAAAATCACCAACAAATGCCATGACTTAAATCGAAAACACAACCAACAGTTCACAAAACGAAACATAGAAAATTGACTCTCAGCAACACAAACCCAACTAAAAACCGCTCAATTTAGCTTAAATGTGCTGTCTGTTGACAGTTTTATTTGAATGTTTCGTATGTAAATGACAAACTGCAGCAAGACATTGAATGTGTATACAAAAATAAAAAGCTCATTTCAAAACCTGTTTTCTGTTTATTGAAATCCTTGCTTAACACACAGTCACGCTTTTATGAGTTACAAACATGCTATAGATAGCTCTTTCATATAGTTTGCATATATTGTTTGAAGGATTTCCTAAAGTGTTAGGCTGCATTAATGGGACGTACATCAAACTGCAGAAACCACAGGAACACGAAGAAGAATTTGTAAACCGTAAAGGATATCATTCGCTCAATGTGCAGGTGCGTTTGTTTATACTATAGCAAGATTTTTTCCACATTTGCACTGCAGTTGGTTATAATAATTTTGCCATATAAATCAAAGTGTAAAATGATAAGTCGAAAAATATCTTTCGTTCATAGTGCTGCAGGGATTTTTCTGAACACAACAAACCTGCGAACTTTTGAAAATCCCCATGGGGGTTTTAGTGCGCGACAACAATTTCAAAGGTTACAATTCTTTGTGACGTGTTTTGCGCGTGCTGTTCTGTGGTCTGGAAAAAGTGTCATATTTGTAGGAGGAGCTCACAAGCCTTTTTTGTTTGTGCATGATTCCAGTTATTATATCAGAAGAAAAGATGAACATGTTGACTTTTCCAATTTAAAATCACAACAGATAATTATGATAGGTAATTGAAAATGAGAACGGACGTCACAGAAGACATCCCGATTTGCCGCTTAAACTATAGTAACCAAAAAAATCATAATCATACCCTGTATATATATATATATATATATCTCAACTCTCTCTAAAACCATATGTCAACAAGTCATATGTGCGGAGGTAAGGGAGAAACGATATAACTTCAAAAAGGGGGTGGGGTGGGGTAAGGTTTTTTTGTCTGAGTCAGAATTGTTTTTTAGTGCAAAGCGCAAACATTTCTTTAGTTTTTGTATTATGACCAAAACTTTTGGGGTCGTATAAAAGCAAATATGATATTCAGTATCAAACGACTATATATATCTACTATATATAAGCTTGTTTGTTTGCCAATGCGGTCTTATGTATAAAAATCGAAGAGTTGGTATGCATGTACGTGCCAATGATATAACTATCTACCATTGTTCAAATGACATGCATGGATTTTAAGCAACTACACTGCACGCTCTGAAAAATATCAAAACATTTACATTCAGTTTTGTCATTTCCCCATTCCAAACTAAAAGACAAATTGAAAGAGTTGATTTTACTTTGTTTCATTAAAAAGAATGGCGAACGTAGATACAAGTATCTTGTCTTGGGGAGGGATAAATCCTACTTTGTAAAGAATCACTCTGATTCAAACAAAAAATTCTCTGAAACTGACATTATCAAGATGCTTGATTTCTTGATTGACAACATATTTGTTACGTTTGGAGGACGTGTTTTTCAACAGACTGTCGGAATTCCAATTGGAACCAATTGTACCCATCTTCTTGCCGACTTGTTTCTTTATTATTATGAGGCTGACTTCATACAGGAACTTCTTAGGAAGAAAGATAAGAAGTTAGCAATATCCTTTAACTCTACGTTCCGCTATATAGATGATGTTCTTTCACTAAATAATACAAAATTTGGTGACTATGTTGAACGAATCTATCCCATCGAACTAGAGATAAAGGATACTACAGATATAGTTAAGTCTGCCTCATATCTTGACTTACGTCTAGAAATTGACAATGAGGGTCGGTTGAAAACAAAACTTTACGACAAAAGAGATGATTTCAGCTTCCCAATTGTGAACTTTCCATTTCTATGTAGCAACATTCCAGCAGCGCCTGCATACGGAGTATATATCTCCCAATTGATACGATATTCCCGGGCTTGTGTTTCCTATCATGATTTCCTTGATAGAGGATTGCTGCTCACAAGGAAGCTATTAAGCCAAGAGTTCCAAATGGTGAAGTTGAGATCATCCCTTCGTAAATTTTACGGACGCCATCACGAGTTGGTTGACCGTTATGGAATAACCGTTTCACAGATGATATCGGATATGTTCCTTATGTCGTAACTACAATATCCTTCCCTTTTCACGAATGTGTCTTACCGAATTAGACTATTTACCGGATTTGTAATAACATAAGCAACACGACGGGTGCCACATGTGGAGCAGGATCTGCTTACCCTTCCGGAGCACCTGAGATCACCCCCAGTTTTTGGTGGGGTTCGTGTTGCTTAGTCTTTAGTTTTCTATGTTGTGTCATCTGTACTATTATTTGTCTGTTTGTCTTTTTATTTTTGGCCATGGCGTTGTCAGTTTGTTTTCGATCTATGAGTTTGATGTCCCTCTGGTATCTTTCGTCCCTCTTTTATACAATGTCTCTACATGACAGAATATAGAATAATTCACATGAACAAACTTATTGCATTAAACCCCAAGAGTGCACACACTGAAATGTCTCACTTACTAATGCAGTGGCGTATCAAGAAGTTTTTATAAGGGGTGCTGACTGCCCTAAAAAGGAGGGGTAGCTCCACACATGCTTCAGTGATTCCCTATATAATCAACCAAAATTTTCCCACAAAAGGGGCGGGTTAGGCTCCCAAGCCACACCCCCTCCCCACCCGGATCTGCCTATGTAATGATTTAATTTATGTTGCAAGTCTTACTAAAAATATCTTATTATCACATAAACTTAACTTTATCAATGATCCAGGATATTGAGGTCAAGGTCAGATGAACAATTCCAGACTGACAAGTACACATTAGAATCTTTTATACACTAAATGCAGTTGACCTATTGTTTATATTATCTGATAACCTGACAGAAAAGCACTTTAACATTGACTAATGAACCATAAAAATTAGGTCAAGGTCTTGACCAATGCAATTTACATACACCCAACTCTGATGAATATCGATGTGTATTCCTATAAATGAAGTGCACTCTGTCACGGATTCCGAATAGAAATTCCTTCATAATATAAGTTCCAAATGGAAACAATATTCTGGAATATTATTTCCACTAGAATAAATACTACAGTAAATGTTCCTGACGGAATAAATGGTATAGAATATTTGTTCCAACAGGAACAAATATAATGACATGGTTTATAACAAAGTTTCCAGTGGAACTTCTGTTAGGCGGAACAAATATACGTCACAAGTTGACAACTCGACTCCAATCTTAATTGACTAGAATTGTCATTTTTCCTTTCGAAGGTCGGTGGTTTTTTCCGGGCACTCCGGCTTCCTCCACCAAAAGAAACTGACCGACACAAAATAGCCTAAATGCGGTGCTTAAAAGTGGCGTTAAAACACCAAAAATCAATCAAATCCTATAAATGAGGGGCGAACGGGAGTTGGGGCGAAACAACCCGAATATCTGTATAAATATGGCGTCCAAGGAGAACCCCACGAGCACAACCGACCTATCAAAGAGTTACCTTGGAAAACGGAGGCATTCTGAATCAGAGGATACACTTACAGGAGAATCATCGGACAACAATTGTCCTCCACGTTCGTTTACAGTGAAAAGGACGTCGAGTGAGAGTTCTGAGATTCAGTCTCAGACTTCATCAAACGCGAGTCACATCGGCATCGACCATATTCCAAAGGAGACAAGAGACTGGACGGAAGAAACTATTTTTAATAATCTGCAAATTAAAGACATGCTAAGCCCATCTCCTCTCGATGTTTTCAATAACGGATATGTTGACTGTTTCTTGAAAAACCATGCAAAAATTAGAGATTACATGTTAAGGGTAGACAAAGACCATCAACACAGATCAAAGCACGACTGCTATGAATTTGCACTTAACAAAGCATTTGATGTAGACTGCAGTGTTCTTAGTGATGTAACAATTTCTAAAGCATTGCAGTTAACTGAAGAGTTCAAAAAACCATTTGAGGACTCATGTTTTGCCAAATGGCTGTTTGTAAATGAAAAACACGAAAGTAAGGACATGAGAAATATCTGCAAAAAGTAAGTGTAAGGGTAGTTTTAAGGGAAGCAAGTTAACTCATACCATTGTAAACTCGTACCACGTAAACTCGTACCAAAAAAGTTAACTTGTACCAACCTAAACTCGTTACACTGGGAAGTCGTACCAATCAGAACTCGTACCACTGCAAACTCGTACCAATTCAAAAATACGAATGTTTTGTGATTTCTTTTTGGTAAACTTAATAAAAAAAGTTGAATTACTTGAATTTTATACTAGATTTTAATGAAAACTTAGACAAAAATACGAATGTTTTATGATTATTTTTTTTAAGCTTTATACAAAAAATTAAAATATCTGAATTTTATACCAGATTTTAATGAAAACTTAGACAAAAATACGAATGTAATTTCTTAATCACCATGCTAATTAATATATTAAATTCCTTTGATTGTGTGATTATTGGTTGATTATAAACTAATCAACTTGTTTAATCATATTATTAAATTTTGGTTGTTGTTATATAATTTAACAGCTTGGAATTAAATGTATAATGTTTATTATCAAATGAAATTCCTTATTATCAAAACACAAGCTGACATGAGTTGTCTCAAAGCCCACTTTCCTCATAAAATGGGGCATGTTTGTGCGGCTCCTCATAACCACAATGTTTCTCAGGTTAGCTCATAATTTTTGATTACAGTTCAATGTTTCATCTCATTAATTCAACAAAGAAACTGATTGCGCAAAGATCTTAAGTATTTGCACAAGGCCTTCAAAAATTGCCCCTTGGGGGCTTGTAAATGAGCAGTGTTCTGAAGATAACAGACAAATGAGATTTTCATTGTCCATGAAATTACACTTAAATGATTAGTAAAGACATCTGCAAAGGACAGACAATCAAAAATTCTATAATGGCAAAGAAGTCCTAAGAATTCAAGAAAAGAAGATAGGATGACTTTTTTACTTGTATAAGTAAAAAAATCTGAATGTCTAAGGCACATAACTAAGCCCTTTTTTTTTTTACCTATACAAGTAAATAAAATACACTTGTATAAGTATCCTACAAATTTACTTATATAAGTATATTAATATTTACTTCTTCAAGTAAATAAAAATTACTTGTACAAGTAGTACCCCTGACTGAAATAAGTTGGTACGAGTTTACAATGGTATGAATTTACCGTGGTACGAGTTAGCAGTGGTATGAGTTTGCATTGGTACGGGTTTTTTTTAGTGGTACGAGTTGACATTGGTACGAGTTTACAATGGTAGGAGATAACTATAATTCGTTTTAAGTATACCAGTCTTGTAAGTTTCAGCATCTGTGCATTACTGAGGATGACATTGTGTTGCTAAGTACATTTTTTTGTAAATAATGAATGAATGTTGCCATTGTTTACCGCTTTGTGTCTGAGTAGAACTTTTACTCTAGAGCGTGAAAATTCACTATCACAAATCCTAACTGCTAATGGAGGGTATTCGGTCCGTTCGCCCTTCTTTTAAAAAAAAACTATCAATATTAAGGGCATATTCTGAACCTGATCCTAAGGTCAAAAATTGACACAACTTGTTTCTCTTGTACAGTAGATTCCTCATACTGTGCACTATTTCTCCTTGTAATTTCTCATGCATACAAATTTAATAAACTTATTCAGATATTTACATGTATATAGTATATATTCTTGGAATTCATGAAAACACATGGAAAGCTTGTTCAATGACATAATACTTCTCACTGATTGTTGAAATACTAATCTTTGATGGATTAAGAAATAAATAAAAATCAAGGCGAATCGGACCCAGGGCAAACAGGTATCAGGGCGAACAGCAGTGATTTTGCTAGCGCTCGTCATTTTCGTAATTTACAAAACGGTTTTCAAAATGAGGAAAGTATTTCAAATCAATTTCGTCACTTAAATTTTGAAAGTGTAAAAATATTTTCGCATGAAAATACTATAAATCTACTGGTCTACATGTTTTTGACAAGTTTATGACCCCAGGTTATTAACATTTACAACAGGTTTTACAAGTTGTCATTACAACTAATCTGCTTATCGCCATCACATGGGTCACTAATCCGTCAATAATTAATAAACCTCATAATTGACCATGATAATTATTTTCCCTAGGAAAATCAGTCGATCAGCATTTCAACAAACAGGAGTATAATTTCGTTATTTCCCCCCAGACAGTTTGCATTTGAATTTAAATATTTCTCTAGCGGTCACAATTTGAACTTCGTTTGTCCTAGATTTGTCATTTGATCGCGTTTTCGTCATATTTAATATAAATTTTCATTTAAAACTTTCTACAATTTCCTTTTAAAAAATAGAACTTTATTCAAAACATGATCATGATTATTCAAAACGTTCAGAAATGTTTTCACGACTCAAACAGGTGCTTCCTGTACTATGTACTGCGCATGCGTGAAAGTATTCATATGAATTTAAAGACACTAAAAACGTAAATATAAAATCAGTCATGTCAATAAGTATCAATTAAATGAGAGACAAATATATATTTGATATTAAGGTATTTAAATTGAAAAATGTTAATTGCCTGCTTTTAACAAACACGAACTAATTCATAGATGAATCCAGACTCGTTTTGAATTTAATATCCACATGTCTTTTCCTGTTTTCATTTCATTTTAAAACCAAAAGTGGTAAACGTGATCTATTCTTGATTTGTTTACAACCTCCTTAAAGTCATTGTAAACGTCCCAAAAAGGATTTTATACAGTTCCAACTTAATAGAAATGATTTTAAAATATCCATTTAGACGTTTTATAAGGATAATGATTATGCAGTGAGATAATAGTTGCAAGTTGATTTCTGCTAGGTACTAGGGCGAACGTGAATCAGGGTGAACGGACCAGGATTCCTCATGCAGTATGTATTTGAGGCATGAGTGAAGATAATTTTAATGAAACAAACATGCCTGAAATACAAGTAAACAATGTGTAAAATGTTATTTCCAGCGTTAAATGATAGCTTATTGTATGCTGATTCCAAAAATATATGGTTCTATACATGTAAATGTACATCTTTTTAAAAAAAACATGAAAAAGGGAGATAATTTGTTACTTCCGGTTTTGAAAATGTCATTTCCAGGTTTTATTTGATGGTTTACTTCACACTGATTCCAAAAATATATGGTTCAATATACATTTACATTAAATAAGTATGGTCAACAGTCAGGGATATAACTCTATAGGGTTATTACAGAAAATAACTTGCATGTGTTATTACAGATACTTTTATGAGTTGTCTACTCTTTAATCCTTAAATTTACTAAAACTGTAATAACATATGTTTGTTATTTGTAAAATAAATCATAAATATTTTTATTTTTAGTGGGCTCTAAGGAACTCTTGAAACTTTGCGCAGAAACTAAATGCATAGCCTTGATTAACTATTAATTTAGATTAATACATTTTTCATTAACCATGGTAAATCAATGAGACAAGGCTTTTGAGTGATTAATTTAGCGGTAATAACAAGGCTTAGTTATTAAAGGCATGTAACTTAACAAATGAGACACTTGGGAATTACTGGGAAACTTGCGCAGAACCTCATTACATGCTCTGATCATTACTTCTTACAATAAATTAAAATACATTGTAATTGAGCATGATCTATGTCTGAGCAAAGGCTTTGAAGTGATGTAGAGAAGTGGTAATAACACCCTTTAGTTATTACAGGCATATTTGTTCTGTAATAACATAGGTGTGATATGCAAGATTGGCAAACTATGAACTGTTATATCTTTCTATAGTTTAGTATACATAAAGATAGTAGCAATATCAATAGAACCTGTATACATTTTAACAAAACAAATGATGTACATTGTCCCTTTGAAACATGTAACATACATATGTTATCACTGTTCTTTGATTTTTTTGTCCACAATAACAAGCGTATATTATTTTTCTCTAATAACCCTATAGAGTTATATCCTTGACTGGTCAAGTGGTTTGCAACCTAATGCAAAAAGTCCCATGACTATATCATGTACACAAAATGTATGTGGTAAAAACAAAGGTCAAAATCTAGAATGTCAAATTTACCAATGACCTTGAGCTCAATTTCAAGGTCATAAACCAAGGACCTCAAATCAAAAGATCCTAGGTCTAAATTATATATGGTTAATGAGTTAATGAGTTATATCACCTTACGTGTTATTTTAAATATAAGGGGGAGGAAACTTCAGTTTAATGTAAGAGTACTCTTTCAACCTAAATGTATGTGTTACGACATGTCTTAATTAACAATTTAGTAAAAATATGTTGTTTATATCTCATACGGAAAGGTGGAAAGACCTAATAATTCTTTATTTAAAGAGGGTTACACAGTTAGCTAGAAAGCTAATCTTCCCTGAGACCCTCATGAAATACAATGAAATATAACAAACAATTACAAAGTATCAAGCAAACACATGTACACATACATGAAAAAATGAAATAAAAAATTGTAATGAATTATAGCAAGAATTCTTCAGTTGCACAGTATTGCACAAAAGCAAGAAATATCCAATTGCACAGAATTGCGCAATAACAAGAAATCTTTAATTGCACAGTATTGCGCAATAGCAAGAAATATCCAATTGCACAGTATTGCGCAATAGCAAGAAATCATCAGTTGCACAGTATTGCACAATATCTCAGTATCGCGCAATAGCACAGTATTGCACAATATCACAGTATTGCACAATATAGCAAGAAATCTTTAATTGAAATTTAATACAAATTATTTAAGTTTTTTAACGCATTTAAAAATTTTAGATCTTTAACCACATTTATTTTGTGTCATGGTCAGTAACCTGTATTATGTAAAAAATTTGATCACAATCCAAATTCAGACAGTATCAAGCTTGAATATTGTGTCCAAACTTGCACCAACTGTTCATCATCGGTTCGATCTCTGCGTTCGTATCAGGCTGTACTTTGCGAAGCATTTTATTATAGAATATTTATACATGTTATACACTTTTACATTATACATTTTATAGGTGGCCTTGTGATGTTTATTTCCTGTTTTTGGTGGAGTTCCTGGCTCTTGACATGTATACACTATTCCTTATTTTCATTCTTTATTATACATTGTTATATGTACAAAAACATACATTTATTTTACTGTGTCCAGCTATTGCTGTCTGACAGTCTTAATTTGCAGGTACAAAACTGTACATTGTATTAGCACAATCTTTTTTGTTTCTTTAAGCATATATCCACGATTACAGCAATTTTGTGAGCAGCTACTGGTTATGGTGGAGTGTACACATACTAGCCAGAATTCTGATAACCTGACAGAGGCTATGTATCGAGAATTATTTGTGACCTTTTTGAGAATATTTGGTGTTACTGTTTTGTAAGTATATACAATGTACATGTTTATTTATATTCTTTTATTACTGCAATAATGATATCAACATACTAAAAACCCTATTTGGTGCCAGTGGTTTAATTATACCCCCGCTTTATATAGTATTCATTGTGTTTTTCTGCCCGTTTGGCCGACTGTTGTATCCACTAGTACTATTTCTTCTAAACTACACAGGATGAAACTAGATGAAACTTTCAGAGAATCTCCATCTCTTGATAGCATCATGCACCTCCTATTTCAGAATTTGAAAAGACCAATTTTGGGGTTTCCCATAGCAAAACATGGACTTTCATTGTGGTAGGGGGTACCATGATGCCATCTGCAACTCCTCCTAATCCACTAAATGGAATTTGATGAAACTTTTATAGGATCTTTATTACATGTGCATTTTTGTCTCGCTTGACAAGAGTCAAAAAGCGAGACATAGGTAAGCTGTTTGCGGCGGCGGCAGCAGCGTCAACAATGCATTAGTTTGTGATTAGGTCTACTCATTACCAGGGTTGCTACTTAAACAAGTAATTTCATGACCACCTATTTCAGTGATTTGATAAATTCAGTTATCACCTATTTAAGTGATTTTGGTGTTTCCTTTGATCTTCAAATGCTAATTTCATTGATTTTCCATATTTTCACAAATTTTTCTATAATTTTCCTACATAAATCAATTATCCCTTTTTCTTTGTATATTAATTTCACCAGTGCACTTGGGCAGTAAGTTAGTGTGTTAGTGCGCTAAAGCTTTTAAAAGTACCCTTGGGAATTTTTCTGTAATCAAATATTCATTAACTATTCTTACTATCAGACAAAGGTCAACAATATTAGGTGACCTGATTGGTTTTGTTAAGAGTTAGAATGATCTACTTCAAGGTTATGACCTGATCTAGAAATTATTCCAGTTTTTGCATATTTTAAATAAACTGTAAAAATGACAGGCTTATCAAGCAAAAGACAATTTCTGCATGTACATAGTGTGTTTTTCAATGGAATTCTTGTCGTTTTACCAATAAAAAAATCAAGCTTGTGGGAAAAATATCAAAAAAATGTTATAAACACTTATTAAAGTGATTACATTTTAACTTCTAAAATTACTTGTTTCAGTGATTTTAAAAAGTCTGTGTCTATTTTGGTGAATTTTTTTAATATTTCACAGCCAAAATCACTTGAAGAAGTGATTCTGAAATCACTTGTTTAAGTAGTACCCCTGACTGATTACCATGGAAATTATTTGGCCCCCGCCCCCTCAGTCCTGGTCTTTTGACTTTGAAACTTTTGCTTAGTTTTCATGTATTAGTTTGTGATTAGGTCAGTTTATGGTGAACCACTAGTGTGAGGTCAATGATATTTGGTATGCAGTTGTATTAGCATTGGCACATCTCATTTCCATGGAGAATATTTGACCTTGCCCCTCAGTCATGGTTTATTGACTTTGAGATTTTGCTTAGTTTACATGTATTAGTTTGTGTTTAGGTTTGTTTAAAGGGAACTACTTATGATAAGTCAATAGTATTTGGTATGCAGTTGTATCAGCATTGGCACATCTCATTTCCATTGAGATTGTTTAGCCATGTACCTTCAGTCATAGTTCATTGACTTTGAATATTTGCAAAACTTGCATGTTAAAGTGTTGCTATTTTAATTTCAACATTTGCATTATCGAAAACAAAAAAGCGAGACATATCTCTGTGATAACAGTTTATTATTTTTATTTTATATCTAAACAATTGGGGTTTCAAATACTATTGCGATGTTTTTATTATTAAAAAAAAAAATGCTACAGGGTTATAATCGCAATGATTTAAACTCCCATTTTGAAATTCCTGAAATTTGTAATATGAATTAAACAGGATTTTTCTGAATATTGCAAAAATTAAAATCTCATTTTAGTCTAAAATGACAAAATCGGAATAATAAATGCACGCATTAATTTCTGAATTTACAGTACCAAAACATGGACTTTTTACTGCATACATGCTGGTAGGATACTGGTACCCCCATCAAAATGAATGGAAATGGAACCATTCATTTTGATGGGGGTACCAGTATCCTACCAGCATCTCCTCTAAACAACGGAATTGAATTTAATCAGTCAAAGCTCATTAATAAGATTAAACCTGCTGAAATATGGACTTTGCCATTCATGTATCCTATGTTGGGACAGGGTATCAATTACAGTATATATAGTCAGAGAGAATTGATCCTCCTACTCCCATCACAGATTATGGCATGTATGGTGTTTCACAGTGTCACACAGAAATTCACACCTCTAAATTACTTCCAACAATCTCTCACATTCATTCATTTCTTTATTTCCTCTAAATAGAGATTACACTGAACAAAAAATTTTGCTTTTAATATATTGTGAATATCTTTAAAGCGAATTGAACTAAGTCTTTTACAAGAGTTAATTCTTGCTAGCCAGCTGTCTCATGTGAAGCGTTCATAAACAGCATGATATACAATTCACTTCCAGTACAATTTACTAGGAAATGGACCATCTGATCAGATATGAAATTGTCTAAGAATTGAACAAGGTTGTACTTTATAAGAATGTTTGAAAGTTGGGAATAAATCCAAGATGAGTCCTCTTGCTTGACCAACATGTATACAGTCTCTGTAAGAACATTTGTTTAGGTAAATGATAATGTTCTAATGAAATAAGTTTTCCAAAAAAAAAAAAGTAAGTTTCTCTATTTCTGACACAATATTATGTAGGCCAACCATACTTTCGCAAATGTCTGATCTAGTATTTGTATTAAACGTTAACCCCTGTGCCTGTTTTACTACAAATTGTTGAAATCTATTCATTAAATTCAGATTCTAAGGCCGTGTTCACACCAAACCCCATGTACAGTAATACATAATATTTATACGCATTCATTCACAAATACGCAATATTTAAAAACATATATATTATAGTGAGTTGATGATTTGGTGAAACATACATGTGTGATTTTTCTTAATTCATAAGTTTTCCTTGAATAACACAGTCACGAGTTCGAACCAAGAGTAATTACCAAATACTACCATGCAGATACTTCTTAAGGCGAAGTGTACGTAATATAACTACTCCACAGAATTTTTTTACATTTTACATGTGGATTCTGCTTGTAAAATTACATCAGAATATGAAATAAAAAAAGGGGGTAACAGTTTAAGTTTTTTAGATACAAGCTGTTAAAACCAACAGCATGATACGCCAGAAATACAAAGGATATATAGGGAAAATCATAAAAAAATGGCAGATATTTTTACTTTATCATGATTTTCTAATTCGTTGGTCAACAGAATTTTTTTTAAATACGAAATGCGATTAAAAAATAAACGACAATTCCATTAGTGCAAAGAAAGTCCTTAGCAACCATGCTAGTTTTCAAGCTATATTCTCTTGAAGTTTGATTTTAAGCTGAAAATTATAAAATATTCGGCAACGTTATCGATGTCTGCTTGTAATGTTACCACAAATTCTACTCTATAACGCAAGTATACCCATTGTCATGATTGTACTGTACAGTATTGTCATACAAATCGTGAGTGTGTGTAACACATTTTCCTTAGTATTGGAAATGCTAAAAAAAAATAAAAGCGTAATCGGTTGACATGGTTGATAATGATACAAGCTGAAAAATATTTAAGGATATTTCTGCTGCCAAAATAATGCAAATTGGCAAATAAATATACTGCAAGTGAAAGAAAGTTACTGTATAGACTTTAACTCCATCTTTTCTTGATTAGACAGGGTTCCACATTTTTGTTTTTTCAAATATTTGTATTGTTCAAATAATTTTAAATAAAATATCGAGTTGTCCAGGTACAGAATGATTTCTATACATATTTGAAAAATTCGGTTAAAAAAATTAGTTACCTACATCTTTTATTATTTCATGACACAAGTTACCTATAGCTAGGTTTTTTCATTTTTTTCAAAGTCATTTATCAACTTTATTTAGGGGTATGATCAATCATGTAATATACATCCAAGTAGAGCAACATATTATGCAATACTTAAAAAAAAAAATACAAGGAGTTAAAATTCTTAGCAATGTCACCTTCAGCACCTACGTCTGCTTTCCCCCAGTGATAATATTATTCTTTATTGAAAGACTATTTACATTGTATCTTCATTTTCAATTTAAAGAGCTGTTCCAAATCTGTGTGCTTATCATCTGACAATTGGGGACAGGATAGTAACTTCAATACCTGATGCTGTTGTTTGTAGCTATGTTAGGAATGGAGAAGAAGTAAACAAGAAAGTTATTGCTGTTGTAGAGGTAAATATTGTTGCATATGATACCATGTTAATCTGACTTCTCACTTAATCTGTTGTACAGGTACATGTACAGGTACATTGTAAGTAGCATATGATGTTTAGACAAAATTTACAGACTCCAGATAAGCTGGGTTTTTGGGTAATTACTCAATTGAATTAACTGAAAATCCAATTGATTCAAATATTCTTGCTTTTAAAAACCCCAAACATATGTTGAAAACGTTCTACCAGTCCGTAACTAAGAAAGCCACCATTTTGAAATCCATTTTTTTTTTGTATATAATTTCTTACAAAATAAATATGAAAGTCACATTTTGAGCCTCAAAAATATTAATTTTGTCAACGACAATCATGCTAAAGACAATCCTGACAATGCAACAGTTTCGCAGACTTTTTTTATTTATGTCATGTTTCGCCAAAATATTTATTAAGTGGTATTTATTTTGATATGCTGCATTAGAATGGAGATAACTGTATTGTATTTTAAGCTTGGCCTTCGTAAAACTTGATTTTACTGTCGCAAATATCTGTTTACCTAGCTCAGCTACACATCGCTAGGTAAACTCAATTTGCGACAGTAAAATCTCCATTTTACAAAGGCCAAGCTTAAAATACAATACAGTTATCTTCTAAATAATTTACTTCACCATTGTTCAAAGTAAAAGTAAGATTTATTAACAACTTCTCTGCATTGTAATTTCTTAACTACATGTGAATCGTTTCTATTTCATGATGCATTTAGTTGTGAGGATTGATTTGTATCTGGCATTTAAGATGTATATGCTATATTCATATATTTAAAAGGTAAAGAAAAACTACACCAGACACTCAAATCTGGAAACTGTGAGGCAGACCAGAAATTCGGAAAGGAAGACATCAGTTATTAAGCATATTGATTCTGGACTAAAAGGCCAGCACGCTGGAGAAATGTTAGCGGTTATTCCTTCATCTGTATTTGATTCTAATGGAATATATGGAATCATAGTACAGGGAACAATGGTAGGGATTTATCGCAGACTGTAGCTTGCCCATGAATTGGGATTTTCACATACATTTTTTGGAGGCTCAGGCCAATTTTAGGGCGGCTTACTATACAGTGGAATCATCTCAAATGATAGGTTTATGTATGCACATTTAAAAAAATATATAGTTTCTAGGTACTTTGCCATGAAATAAGTGCAAAAATTGCTACTTCGGGTTTACTCAAGGTCACTCCCTGTTGAAATTTTTTAAGGTCACATGTCAACCAACAGTTTGAGTTTGCAAAAGATCCTATAGCTTTATCATTTACCAAGTTGGAGTAATAATCAATTAACCTCAAATTGAATCATTTTAGGTCCAATAACACTAATAAGATGTCATTGGATTGTTTCAGACCAAATTATCATATCTCAATCACAATTTGGCAAATCTTTTGCACTAGTTCTTTTATATATATCTTTAAAAATGATAGAGGAGATCAAGGAACAAGGAAAAGTCAAAATTTAGAATTTGACCTGAACCTTTGCATTCATGACATTGACCTAGTTTTCTATTCTTTGGACCAAGGACCTCAAATCAACAGACCCTAGGTTTCTATCATTTATGGTTTACCAGTTACAAATTCATATCACTTATTTCAAATGCATTAGGGAAAATAACTCTCAAATGGAGTCTTCGTATTGCTTCCTTCAAAATTGGACAAAAATCCTGAGGATATTGGGAGCAATTTGGAAAAATAAATTTGTCGCTTTCTTTTACGGTTATGGAGGAGATCTCACAACAAAGAAAACAGTGTTTTGGAAGATAACTCTTACAATAAAAAGTCTTTGACTAAACAGGGTCAGTCTCAAAAGCACAATAACTGTTTTATATCAAATGCAAAAAATCTAAGCAACATCTTGCGAAACCACAAAACAGGGCACGAAACAATTTTGGCGGAATAAGAAAAAAAAATAGTCAGAACAAATACAATAAGTCTTTCCACAAAATAGTGGAAAGACCTTATAATGATAAGGGGTCTTCAGTAACTATTATAAGTCTAGTTACTAGTGGGTTGACCTGCTTTTAATTACTACTGGGCCAAATTAAACCAAACTTGGCCTCAATCATTATAAGGGTATCTTATACTATTAACTATGATTTAAACCTTATTTTACATGATTTCCAAAACCACAATAAATACAGGTGAGCGACACAGGCTCTTCAGAGGCTTTAGTTTTTTTTTATCCAATCAGTTTTCAAGGTTTTTATGCCCAAGCTGTAGCAGAGGGGGGATTGAGTTTTACCCTTGTCTGTCTGTATGTATGTCCCAAAGTTAGTTTCCATTCTCTAACTTTAGTTTGCCTCAACTAACTTTTGTGAAACTTACACACAATGCTTATTGCCACAAAACACAGATCAAGTTTGAAGTTAGGTAGGGTCACTATAACCGTTCTAGAGTTATGCCCTTTACAAATGCAAAAATTGCTGAATTTTTCGTTTTACGTTCTTTAACTTTAGTTTGCCTCAACCAAATGTTATGTAACTTATACACAATGCTCATTACTGCATAATATAGATCAAGTTTGAAATAAGGTGGCCTCACTTTTACCCTTCTAGAGTTATGCCCCTTTATAAACTTATAAAGTGCTGAATTTTTTTCCATTCTCTAACTGTAGTTTGCCTCAACTTAATGTTATGAAACTTACACACAATGCTTATTACAGATCTAGCTTGAAATTGGGTGGCTTCATTTTTACCATTCTTAAGTTATGCCCCTTTATGAACATAAAAATTGCTGAATTTTTTGTTTCCATTCTGTAACTTTAGTTTGCCGCAACCAAATAATATGAAACTTATACACAATGCTAATTACCACAAAATACAGATCAAATTTGAATTTTGGTGGTGTCACTTTCACCGTTCTATAGTTATGCCTGTTTACAAATGGAAAAATTGCTGAATTTTTAGCTCACCACGGTGAGCTTTTGCCATCACTTGGCGTCCATCGTTGTCGTCATCGTCGTCTTTCTTCGTCCGTCTGGTGTAAACTATTTCAAACATCTTCTCCTCTGAAACTACTGAACCAATTCCAACCAAACTTAAGCTGAATGATCCTTAGGGTATCTTGAATAAAGTTTGTGTTTTATTTACTGTTTTGTCAAAAAACATGGCCGCCATGGCTAAAAATAGAACATAGGGGTAAAATGCAATTTTTGGCTTATATCTCAAAAACCAAAGCATTTAGAGCTAATCTGATGGCGGTAAAAATGTTTAGTAGGCCAAGCTCTGTCAGCCATGAAATTTTCAGATGAATCTAACAACCCATTGTTGGATTGCTGCCACTTAATTGGTAATTTTTTAAGGAAATTTTGCATTTTGGTTATTATCTTGAATATTATTAATGATAAAGATAAACTGTAAACAGCAAAAATGTTCAGCAAAGTAAGATCTACAAATAAGTTCTATGACCAAAATTGTCAATTGTCACCTTAAGGAGTTATTGCCCTTTAAAATCAATTTTTCACAATTTGTTCATTTAGTTTGCTTATTTTAAAAAATCTTCTCCTTTGAAACTGCTGAATCAATTTCAGCCAAACTTGGGCTGAATGAGTTTCAGAGTATCTAGTATAAATTTTATATTTTATTTTCTTGTATGTCAAGAAACATAGCCACTATGACTAAAATGGAACATAGGGGTAAAATGCATTTCTTTGATTTTGAAGAAAATATGACAGATACAAAGAACATTTCAATGGAAGTTTTAAGTCATTCATTAATATATATTGAAAAGCAAAAATAATCATTGATGAAAGATTTAAGCAAAAAATTACAGGTGAGTAATTCAGGCTCTTGAGAGCCTCTTGTTTGTTTCTGTTCTCTAACTTGAGTTAGCCTCTACCAAATGTTATGATACTTATACACACAATACTTATTACCACAAAACTCAAATCGAGTACAAATTTGGGTATCATCACTTTTACTATTCTTCAGTTATGTCCCTTTATAACTTTATATGATATGCAAGCGGGGGCATCATCTGTGACACATGGACACATTCCTTATTTATCTTTACTATGACATGGACTTGGCAATTTCTATATATAGGAAAGTTTGTGAACTCAAAATTGCCTACAATTTTAAATGGAATGGAATGAAACTTTACACATTTTATGTACACAAGGTGTAGTTGTGCAAGACATACATTATTTTTGATAAAATCAATTTTTATCACATCAATATTTGGGGTTTTCTATTTTCTACATTTGTTTATCAATATCACTATGTGTACTTACATGTACTTTATGCTTTATCACACTGTGATGTGTTTCCTGGACTCTTCCAGTTGTTATGTCCTCTCTTTCATAAATTTCAATATACAACCCTCGGAATGATGCTTAGAAGGTCCCTAGACCCTACTATAGTTCCTTTTTTTGGTGGAAATCAAACTGCTAGATCAAATTTTATGAAAATTTTGCAGGAATAAATTGTTGCATGGACTGAAATTCTATTACAGGATTGATCCATTTGGTGCCAATTAGTCTGCAAGGTGAGCAATACAGGCACATTAGAGCCTTTGTTGAGTTGACAAGCTTTTATGTCTGGGTTCTGTATGAGGTTCAAACAGAAGTATTTTAATCTGTATTCTTATTTTATATATTCAACCTGACATGTTTCACAAAACAGCATGTTCTTCAGATGCTATTTAGGAAAGAAGTATTATAAGTTGGAAAACTGATAATCAGTACAAAGTACACATAACAAATGACAGACGAAATCTCTACTATTTGATCAAGTGTATCCTGTTTATTTGCAGATCACTTTTGTATCCCTGGCAACAAGTCAAGAATATTGTAATAACCTTAATGAAGGGAAAATGAAGAATTGTCATGCTACAATAAAGTACAGCAATGCAGTTAATATGCTGTCTACCAAGGGAAGACAAGAACTTGTCAGTACCTTCCTTGGAATGTCAACTTTACTTGATTGTATGTCACAGGAAATAATGAACTAGGTATTTGTTTGTATTAGTTATCTCTTCAAACATTTTTGTCAAACATTAAACTTAGTTTAGAAGTATAATTATATCCTACTCAACTTTGTTGCAAAGGGGTAATATTGTCTTTGATCCACCTGTATGTCAGTCCATTTGAGGTTTCCAGACAATAACTTGAAATGAATTAACAAATTTTCCTAAGGGATCATAGATTTGTTCTTACGAGGATGCTCGGAGGATGCTCGGAGCTTTTTAAGTAGGCTCTTCTCAGCAGTTTATGTGACAATAATTATCATACTCCATTAAGATGTCAATCAAATCTGTAGCACTTCTATAATAAGGAAAGTAAAGCATTATAGAGTAAGCTCAATTAACACCTGTGTAAACATCTGGTCTATTCAAATACATTTTGCATGAAATATTACAAAACTATAAAATAGATTAGAAATTCTTCAACAGTACTGTGTAATGCTTGGAAAGAAATCTCAAGTCTCCACAAAAAGTAAAAGTCATTTAAATATTTCCTTTTCGTGGAGCCTTCGACTTTTGTCGAAAAAGCGAGACATAGCGATCCTACATTCTGTCGGTGGCGTCGTTGGCGGCATCCACAAATATTCACTCTGTGGTTAAAGTTTTTGAAATTTTAATAACTTTCTTAAACTATCCTGTATTTCTACCAAACTTGGACAGAAGCTTGTTTATGATCATAAGATAATATTCAAAAGTAAATTTTGTAAAAAATAAATTCCATTTTTTCCGTATTTTACTTATAAATGGACTTAGTTTTTCTGCCAAGAAACATTACATTCACTCTGTGGTCAAAGTTTTTAATATTTTAATAACTCTAAAACTATCCTGGATTTCTACCAAACTTGGAAAGAAGCTTGTTTATGATCATAAGATAGTATCCAGAAGTAAATTTTGTAAAAAAAAAAATCCATTTTTTCCGTATTTTACTTATAAATGGACTTAGTTTTTCTGCCAGTTAACATTACATTCACTCTGTGGTTAAATTTTTTAAAATTTTAACAACTTTCTTAAACTATCCTGGATTTGTACCAAACTTGGACAGAAGCTTGTTTATGATTAAAAGTTAGTATCTAGAAGGACATTTTTTTTAAATTTTGTTCCATTTTTTCCGTATTTTACTTATAAATGGACTTAGTTTTTCTTCCAGTTAACATTACATACAGTCTGCAGTTTAAGTTTTTAAAACATTTATTAGATTCATAAACTATCCTGGATTTTTACGAAACTTTGACAGAAGCTACTTGCAATCAAAAGATAGTATAGAGAGGAATATTTTTATTTATTTTTCTCCTCATTTTTGTTGAGCCTGCGATTAACAGCAAAAGTAGGTGAGACACTGGGTTCCGCAGAACCCTTACGAATTTTTATATTTAATAATCATTCCTTTTTTATAATAAAAAATTCTCAAATTCTCAAACAAGTTATTTTTTTTAGTCACTTATATAAGTATATTTTTTTTTAACTTTTTAATAACTCAATAGTTATTTTAAATGTCAAATGAAGCATGGAGTAAATGTAGTTTTTAAGAATTTACTTTAAAAAATAATGTCAAAAATATTACTTTTAAATCTATAAAAGGGTGATGATAAATTCTTCAATATTACTGTACAATGCTTGGTATCAAGTCTTTGCAGAAAGAAAATGTTTTCAAAACATTTTTGTTGAGCCTTCGACTTTTGTCGAAAAAGCGAGACATAGCGATCCTACATTCTGTCGGCGGCGGCGGCGTCCACACATATTCACTCTGTGGTTAAAGTTTTTGAAATTTTAATAACTTTCTTAAACTATCCTGGATTTCTACCAAACTTGGACAGAAGCTTGTTTATGATCATAAGATAGTATCCAGAAGTAAATTTTGTAAAAATAAAATTCCTGTTTTTCCGTATTTTACTTGTAAATGGACTTAGTTTTTCTGCCGGGAAACATAACAATCACTCTGTGGTTAAAGTTTTTAAAATTTTAATGACTTTCTTAAACTATCCTGGATTTGTACCAAACTTGGACAGAAGCTTTTTTATGATCATAAGATAGTAGCCAGAAGTAAATTTGTTAAAAAATGTTTTTATTTTTGCCGAATTTTACTTATAAATGGACTTAGTTTTTCTGCCGGGAAACATAACATTCACTCTGTGGTTCAAGTTTTTTAAATTTTAATAACTTTCTTAAACTATCCTGGATTTGTACCAAACTTGGACAGAAGCCTGTTTATGATCATAAGATAGTATCCAGAAGTAAATTTGTTCAAATTTTTTTTTTATTTTTTCCGTATTTTACTTATAAATAGACTTAGTTTTTCTGCCAGGAAACAAGACATTCACTCTGTGGTTGAAGTTTTGAAATTTTAATAACTTTCTTAAACTATCCTGGATTTGTACCAAACTTTGACAGAAGCTTGTTTATGATCAAAAGCTAGTATCTAGAAGGAAATTTTTTTAAAATTTTGTACCTGTTTATCCGTATTTTACTTATAAATGGACTTAGTTTTTCTTCCAGTTAACATTAAATACAGTCTGCAGTTAAAGTTTTTAAAACATTTATTAGATTCATAAACTATCCTGGATTTGTACCAAACTTTGACAGAAGCTTCTTACAATCAAAAGATAGTATCTAAAGGAATATTTTTATTGATTTTTTTCCTCATTTTTGTTGAGCCTGCGATTAACAGCAAAAGTAGGCGACACTGGGTACCCTTACGAATTTTCTTAATAATTATCATAGCTTTTTCAATACACACGATACAAATAAATACTAAAATTTTATATTTGAAATATAAATATATTTTAAAGTTTTACTATATAAAATGAAAATAAAAAATAAATAAAGGTATAATGCAGTAAATATAATCTGATAGTGCTGCAGCGAAATCTGAAAAGATGCTCAGTTAAGGAGTTTAATGCACCCAAAGAACACACACCTGGATTTTTTTAAATGAATGAATACATGTTAAACTTATATTTTAAACCGTAAGAAAATCGTATGGTAGATTTTCCGTTAAAAATGGTGTAATTAAGACTTGAAGTTATTTATAAATTGAATGTTAATCAAAAACAATTACATATGTTCCTTAAATAATTGTAAGTACTAAGTTTTTTGAAGTTGTAAAAAATCATTTATCTTTAATCCATTACACAATTTAATTATGGAATTGCTGTTTGAGCTGTTTATTTTTATTTAGTCCTCATTCCGATCAGTTCTGTCACTGTGCAAACCATTGACATAGTTTAATTTTATTTCACTTTAACATGTTTAAGTGTTTATATCTGCCTTTACATTCGCTTGATAAGTGCTTTGTTGTTAATTTCATTGTTTTTTGATATTTTGAACATCATTAGAGGGCATAAATATTATTTTCATCATTGTTTACATTGTGTTAGGTAGCACTCCACAGTTAGGTGACTGTGTAGTTTCGCATTTTTGCCCCTGTGGATTTTTTAAATATGAGGGCTAGTGTGGAATAAAATGCATTTTGGACGGCTGAAGATTAAAAAAGCCTTCATAGTGGGTTTATATGAACATCAAGATTATATAATGTGTATAATATAGGCTGTTATAGTTTGACAGTCCATATTTGCATATCCATACCAAACATTGGTCCTGCAATTATTTGCCAACTTTTTGTCGCATGAACTTTGTGATTAAATTTTACGAAAAAATGAGGCTAAAGACAACCATTTTTTTGTCGAGCCTGCGACTGTTGTCGCAGAAAGCTCGACATAGGGATAGTGATCCGGCGGCATTAGCTAACTTCTTAAAAGCTTTATATTTTAGAAGGTGGAAGACCTGGATGCTTCATACTTTGTATATGGATGCCTCATGTTATGAAGTTTCTTTCAGTCACATGTCCAATGTCCTTGACCTCATTTTCATGGTTCAGTGACCACTTGAAAAAAAAGTTAAGATTTTTTGTAATGTTAAATTCTCTCTTATTATAAGTAATAGGATAACTATATTTGGTATGTGCGTACCTTGCAAGGTCCTCATGCCTGTCAGACAGTTTTCACTTGACCTTGACCTCATTTCATGGATCAGTGAACAAGGTTAAGTTTTGGTGGTCAAGTTCATATCTCAGATACTATAAGCAATAGGTCTAGTATATTCGGTGTATGGAAGGACTGTGAGGTGTACATGTCCAACTGGCAGGTGTCATCTGACCTTGACCTCATTTTCATGGTTCAGTGGTTATAGTTAAGTTTTTGTGTTTTGGTCTGTTTTTCTTATACTGTATGCAATAGTCTACTATATTTGGTGTATGGAATGATTGTAAGGTGTACATGTCTAGCTGGCAGGTGTCATCTGACCTTGACCTCATTTTCATGGTTCAGTGGTCAAAGTTATGTTTTTGAGTTTTGGTCTTTTTTTCTAAAACTATATGCAATAGGTCAACTATTTTTAGTGTATAGAAATATATTATGATCTATATGCAGTCCCGCAGGTTTCATTTGACCTTGACCTCATTTTCACGGTTCATTGATCAGTGTTAAGTTCTTGTGTTTTGGTCTGTTTTTCTTATACTGTATGCAATAGGTCTACTATATTTGGTGTATGGAATGATTGTAAGGTACACATGTCTAGTTGGCAGGTGTCATCTGACCTTGACCTCATTTTCATGGTTTGGTGGTTTTACTTAAGTTTTGTGTTTTAGTCTGTTTTTCTCATACTGTTTGCAATAGGTCTACTATATTTGGTGTATGGAATGATTGTAAGGTGTACATGTCTAGCTGGCAGGTGTCATCTGACCGTGACCTGATTTTCACAGTTCATTGCTCAGTGTAAATTTTTTTGTGTCTTTTTCCATTTTTATTCTGATATTGTTTTTGATAAGTGAACTATATTTGATGTATGGAATATTTATGAGGTGTTTATGTCTGTCTGCCAGATATCATATGACCTTGACCTGATTTACATGGCTCATTGGTCAATGTTAAGTTTTCCTGCTGATCTTTGTCTTGGTTAAGTCTGTTTCTTAGAAACTATAAGCAATAGGTCAA